CTCTCTGCATTTAGCTATGGCTCCGGAAAGCTGCAGAACGGGAAGTCTTCCCCCTCCCGGACAAAGCGTCCGTTCAGGGTCCCCTGGATAGGCCGGTGCACCAACTCATAATGCTTCCCGGCTTGCTTTGCCTTGGCTCTTCCAGCCATCTATCTTCCTTTCCTTGCCCAATCCTCTTTGGTAGGCAGATAACCTAAGCCAAAGGTAAATAGGTTGTGTGGCACTTCGGTCGATGCTGCAACGCCTTTTCGGTCACTTCGCCATAATTTCATCCCGGGAATGTACTGAAGCTTGTTCATAAGGCAGACAGACTATGCACTGACGTATAGCCCTTCATCAATAGCTAGCAGGTCTTGTACAACCTGGGCCTCAACTAGGGTAAATCCTGACAGAAATACATCCTCCGCGCCATGCTCAATCTCCAAAACTGGTGTAGAAACCTCTGGCGGCGGATGTATCAAAGAATTTCCAAAAACGATTGCCACCCCCTTCCCGTGGGGGTACTTCAGCATTTGGTGCAGGGTGGAAGAGACAATCTTTACCTGGTGCAGCCACGGCCGCCCCAGGAGTAGATTGAAGGTGGCCGAGACATCTAAGACATGAAAATCAATATCCTGTTGCCTTGGACCAACCTGAGTTCGAATCTGTACAATCCCCATCACCTCTCGGCTGGTATTATCATAGGCCCGTATCACCTGGGCAGTGGGCACAAAATCCACAGGCTTCAACCCGATAGCATATGTCGTTCTCGACGGACACACATTGATAGCAGATCCTGTGCCAACAAGGACCACCGGTATCCATTTCTCTCTACACTCCATAGAGATGTAGAGTGATTTGTTATGATCTGAGCCCTCAGGCGGCAGTTCCTTGTCAGTGAAGGCTAAGGTCGAGGAAGCTCCTCCCGGGAAAACCAGCCCTATCAACTGCTCCGGAGTTGTATCGATTGAAAGCTTGGCCCTATCCGTGGCAGAAAGGACAACTTGTCTGTAAACCCTTGAGGCCATAAACAGTCCCCAGATGGAGATGTCTGCTTGGATTTTCTTAAGCTGCTTCAGTACAACCTCCTCCTCGAGTAGCTTTTCCTTCTGCCTTTCCGCTTCTTTGTCCTTCCGGACGCCTCTGGCTGGTCTACGTGTGGGGGCTTGACGTACTGCCCACTCCTGGTCATATGGTCAACCTCCTCAACATACCAGGTGTCATCCGGTTGGTTCTGCCCCCAATCTTCGTCAGTGTGGGCAAGTCGTAAGTCGTCGTCTTCCCACCACATCCCGTTGGCAACCGACAGACAGTTGTCCGGTTTCGTTGCAACTGTTCCTGTGCTCACAGCACATTCCATCCCCGTAGGGGCTTTGGCCTTCCTAGCCCTCTCAAGATCCTCGATCTTTTCTTGCTTAAGACGCTTCAATGCAACCTGCTGTTCAGTGCCTACTGTACTCAAACTACCCGAATCCTGAGTAAAATTCTTAGCACCGGTGCTCTCCGGCGATCCCTCCTGATTCTCGGCCATTTCGGCCACTGCTGATATCCCAGCTTCTGATTGCCCTCGTTCTGGCTAAGGTGTCTCAACAACATCTAGCTCGTCGCTGACCCATCCAAGTCGAACCAGTTGATAGTCATGTCCCCCAGATCCTGTTCATTGAAGAACTGAAGGTTGGCAATATCCTCTTCCAGCTCTGCTAGGTCATCTAACTCCTGACTAGGTCTATCCTCCCGAACCACACTGATCTCTGCCCCAACCGGCAACTCTACCATTGGCTTAGCCTGGTCTATTGATGTAATGTAACCACTCGGGTTGTACGCAAAGCTTGCAGACCCCTCAGGCCCTGAATCAACATTTCCATCTGCCTCAAAAGTCATCCTGATTCTGTCTTTGACAGTTACCACCACCGGTTCGGGTTGGGTTAGGGAGGTGCTCATCATGCACAAATCCGTGCTGTCTGGAATGAACACCTCAAGCTTGGATAGGTAGAAGGGTGTGATGTTTATGCTTGGGCCATATGGAATGGCCGCAGTTTGGATCAGGTTGACGTGTTTGAGAGGTGGAGCTTGGTTATATGGTGGAAGTGGGTTGGTGGTGACATTCGGCTTCTCTAGAGGCACGATCACCTTGTTGCCGATGAGATCTTGAATCTCATGACGAAGTCTGAAGCACTGGTCGACCATGCTATTGGTGAAAGGCACAGTATTTGGTCAGGTTATGAGTTGGTGAGATGTTATTTGGTAATGGCCGCGGCTCTAGAGGTTTCAGATGCCCTTTCTTGATTAAAACCCTCAGAGCTTTGGACAGAGGCATGTACAGTGGAGTCAAGGTCCTCTGGCCTCGGGGTGGATATCTGGCTGTTTGTGAACTGGTTCTGGACGCACCGGTGAAGGGTGTAGCTGTAAGTGTTTTTGGAGTGGTGGTGGTGACCATGCCCACATCAGAAGTTCTGGCAACTACAGCATTACTCGTGCCTCCATTTGAACTGCGGAAAAATGCCCTCTTGGGCTGCTCTCTCTCATGGTCAATCAAACCTTGCTTCATGGCGTCCTCAATCTATACCCCAATCTCATGTAAATCTGCAAAGGTGGGAAGGGGTAAGACGATCATTTTTTGCATTATCTTGGGTTAGAGGTTGCGCACAACCATCCGTATCTGATCATTGTCGACCGACCTGATAGTCATCATAGAAGCTTTGGCCCTCTAACGGGTTAAAAAGTTGGAGAAGCCCTCTTTCGGCTCCTGTCTGGTTGTCTCGAGATCACGAGTTGTGATCTCGATCTGCGTGTTGTAGGAGTATTGAGCTACAAAGGCCTCAACCATCTCCTCCCAGCTTCTCTTGATAGAATCTTCCAGCTTTGCGTACTAAATAGCCACAACACCCGACAGGTTCCGGCCGAAGAGAGAAAGCTTTTGCAATCTGGAGAGGCCCATTGGCCTTAGGATATCCGAGAACAATCGCAGATGTACCATGGGGTCCTCAGAACAGTCAAAACGGTCTATATGCGACATTTTGAACCGGTCCGGCAAAGTCACCGCCGAATCGGTGTATCCATCCTCTATGTCCGGAATGGAATTAACGCCTTGAGCTTTTTTGAACAGCTTTTCTAACTTGCTCACTTTCAGCGCTGTTAGATCCACCTCAAATTCAAACGGTTTATCCACTAGATTAGTCGGTGCTTTGGAAATGTACAAGAATACTTATTAAGATAAAAATAGAAAAAGAAAAATGTACAAGAATACTTATATCAATAATAAATTTCATCAATTAAATATGTAAATTTACACAAACACTAAACACAAATATAAAATAAAATAAATTATTGAACACTCCTAAAAAAAAAAAAGTTTATATATTACTAAAAGTAAATATTAATTTATTTTTTTATACTCGAGTTTGGCTCGATTAATTAACGAGTCTAAAAATTGAGTTCGAACTCGTTCATTTAATAAACGAGCTAAGTTTGAGCTATTTATGAACAATTTGGTTCTTTTGCAGTCCTAATTTAGCATAGTTTTTGCTTGACAAAGCCACATTTTTATTCGAATGTGGCAAACTTTATTTTGTGTTTTCTTTCATGTGCATCTTTGCAACAAATGGGATCAATGATTAGGGGAGCTTCTTTTTACATCTCTTAAATTTTTCATTGCACCCATTTTTATGTATTGTAATATTTATACTTTATGAAGAAAGGTTTGTACACATAAATGTAAATAAATATTAACGAGTGTAATTAAAAGCTCCCAATGACGAAAAGACTAACCTTGAAATAGGCATTTTATCTATCTAAATATTACTATAAAGTATATATTTTATTTTGCCTATCAACTGTTTTATGTTTTTACTCCAACCATGCTCTTTATTTTAGCTATTTATTCAAATACTATTAATTTTATAGAATGCCACGTCAACAACAAAGATGGAGGGAAATGATCCTAATGATTGAATATATTTTGCCTAGCGTTGAAGGCTAGCTACATATAGCTAGTGAATATGAGTTGAGCCAAAATGCCTAAGAGCATCTCCAATGCACTAGGCATATAATACTTGTTAGTTAAAATGCCTAGTGTGATTCATTTTTTTTAATTCCAATGCACTAGGCATATGATTAGGCATTTTGACTCAAGTCATATTCACTAGCTACATGTAGCTAGCCTTCAACGCTAGGCAAACTCGTTCATTTAATAAACGAGCTAAGCTTGAGCTATTTATGAACAGTTTGATTTTTTTGCAGTCCTGATCACAATCTCGTCCTAATTTAGCGAAGTTTTTGCTTGACAAAGCCACATTTTTATACGAATGTCGCAAACTTTATTTTGTGTTTTCTTTCATGTGCATCTTTGCAACCTTTCATGTGCATCTTTGCAACAAATGGGATCAATGATTGGGGGAGCTTCTTTTTACATCTCTTAAATTTTTCATTGCACCCATTTTTATGTATTGTAATATTTATACTTTATGAAGAAATGTTTGTACACATAAATGCAAATAAATATTAACGAGTGTAATTAAAAGCTCCCAATGACGAAAAGACTAACCTTGAAATCTCATATTTCATATATCAAGGGAGAGAATATGAATGGAAAAGTAACAGAAAATCTAGTGTGATGTGAGTTTGAGAAAAATACTTAAAAACAAATAAAAATTGTTAGTACTATATATAATCGTATTTTTATTTATAAAAAATAAAATTATGTACAACATTTTTGTTTTAAAAAAAAAATGCTTGAAAGTATGAGCCATTCAAGATTAGATCGACTACATATTCTCTCTGTCTCTCTTGCATGTGTATGTGTGAGTGAGAGAAATGACAGCTAATGAATGCAGAAGAAAACACTAAACTCTATAATCGTTGAGGTGGCTTGTCTTCCAGTTTGCACCGCCCAACTTGTTTTGGACATCACAGATTTCCAGTCCATGGTGTGTGCCCACATGGCTATCTCTATATTTTCTACATTACCAAACAAAAAAACCAAAAACAAAAGAGTCTATTTTCTATCTACAAAAGCCTAACCCACTCCATCATTTCCCCCAACAACATTCTCTCCCCAAAAAAAAAATAAAAAATTGTAAGAGTTTTTTAGGTGTCATTTGAGATGGCTTCAAAGGCTCTCCTCCTCCTCTCCCTCAACCTCCTCTTCTTCACTCTGGTGAGTTCTAATTATGTCCCATGCCCACCACCACCACCAAAAACTCCCAAGCAACACCACAAGCCCCCATCTCCGCCCGCTAAGGCCACTTGTCCTAGAGACACCCTAAAGTTGGCTGTTTGTGCTAACTTGCTTAATGATTTGGTGCACCTTGTCATTGGAACCCCACCCAAGACTCCATGCTGCACCCTCATTCAGGGTCTCGCTGATCTTGAGGCTGCTGTTTGCCTTTGCACCGCCATTAAAGCTAATGTGTTGGGAATTAACCTCAATGTTCCTATTTCATTGAGCTTGCTGCTGAATTACTGTGGAAAGAATGTCCCAAGTGGCTTCCAATGTGCTTAATTAAAGTTTTTGTATTGATCTCATAATTATATCTCTTCCTCGTAAACTCTTCCAGTGTGTTGTTGTATGAGGAACGATCATATGGGTAATCGTTTGAGATGTTACAACTTGATTTATATGTCCACCATATTGTTATTGTTGTATCCTTGTTCATGAAGGAGAAAATAATTAAGGGTTGCAGGCTTTCAACATCAATAAAATGCGATTATTGATTCTTGTTATTTTGAAAGTTGTTTTGCTTTCTATGATTACTACTCCATGATTACTTTGGTGTTTCTTTGCACGTTATGGAGAATATGAGTAAAATTTTTTCTTCTTTAATTCTCTTTTAAAATTATGTGAGTGATTGTTGTTTTGCAATTTTAATTTCCAACACCCTTCGCCCTCCCCTTTAGATTAGGACATTTCTATGATGTTGTTTGATGTTCTGAAAAAAGAAAAAGAAAAAAAAAGATTGCTATTTATAATGAAGAGTAATATTAAAATGATTAAATTTTGGACCAGCTTTCCGTTCCGTTTAGTAATTGAATTGAAGGGTCTTGTTAAAGTAGCGTGGGTTTACTTTGGAATCATTTTGAAAATCTAAATTGTTTATTTTCTATGTAGAAAAATAAAGTTAATTTGAGTATATAATAATTCGTATACACCATTGGGATCTCTGAGTCTATTGAAATATTGATAATTCGAATAAATGAAAATATAGACAGGAAAAAGAAAAAAAAAAATGGGAGAAGTAACCAGTATATTGTAACCATTTGGTTCACTAGCTTTGTTCTAATCATACTCTGTATGATAATTTTTCTATTCCTTCAAGCAGGCATTTGCTTCTCTAAACATAGGGTACTCACCAAAAAAAAAAAAAAAACCCCTAATTACAGCATAAACTACGAAGGAAAAAAAATGTAGTCATCAATGAAAAATCTCATCTACCAATGTGAAAGGCTCCATCAGAATTTTAAATATCAGCTAATACCTATTGAGCTTTTAACTTTCGATATTGATTTTTGTTGATATATTTACTTATACTGTTTATGTATGACTGCATTGTTGATATTGACACGTATTCTGATACTGATACTGCTATTTAAAACCATGAGCTCCAAACGCACATTCTGCTTATTCATAGAACAAGGCCTGCGCTCTAGGTCGAGGGCTGCTGAAGTTGCTGTACTGCTCATGATGTTGGATCGGGCTGTTCGGCATTTCAAGTCCGTCCCCCTGCCCATTTCCAAGATACTGCTGCACCACCAACACTGACATGGTGGCCGCAAAATCCGATGATGCCAACAAATCCCCAACTACACCAAGTTCCGGGCACTCGCTCCAATCTGTCAACCCTGCCGTGAGCGGCGACACCATGCCTTGTCCTCTGCCAACTATGAAAAGGTCATATAATGTATTGTCAATCGATCTTATCGCCGCCATGGTATCTTCCCCATTATTTACCATATTTTCTTTGTAAATTATTGAATCGTTCACAGTTCTTGCCCTAAACTCTTTTATATAGTCCTCGTCTAGTTATTTATCTCTATCACTGTCTGTCACCACTGTCAGTGTGGTAGGGCTGTTGGGTCCGGCGCTAGTTTCCACCCTCGTTGGATCAATTGCATTGTCACCGGCAATGAATCGCATGACGGTCAGACTGATTCCGGGATGCTCAGACATCCTCCAAGCATATGATAGTGCCTCTCGGTCATCTGCTCCACCGAAGAACAGGACAGCAACTTGGTGTGAAACCTGTTAGGATGTTTTAATAAAATCAAAATTATTATTTAATTTTTTTTATTTTATCTAACGATCAGTACTGTTGAAATTAAGGTGAATGAAACGAGCTTATTATTTCTTTTCATAAAACCAAACCGGTCCAAGTATGGTGAATGAAACCATCTTCTTCTTCCTTATACTAAAAATTATTTCTTTCCTTCTATGTCTCGGTTTTTAAATATCCTTATATCATACAATTGAACTAGCGGTAATCCCTATGACTTTTTAGTATAAGTTATAGGCTTATTAATTTTTTTAATAACTTTTTGATTTTTAAGTTAAAAGTGTTGCATGCCAAACGGGACCTAAGTATAAAATTAATTATTTTTGTAAACAATTTTTTATTTTTTTGATAAATCTATTTTTTTGAACAATTTTGATGGTGTCAATTTATGAAAACATAAGACAATATCACATTCAACCCATAATCATTTCACTTTTTGTTCACAACCAACAAAATCAATTACCATAAAAAAAAAAAAAGAAAAAAAAAAATCAATGATCATCTCAGACACAACTTTTTTAACCAAGCGAAAATAATTAAATAGCCAAATGACCTACTAAAATAATCTATTTTCAAACCAGGCTTTATATAATACTACATAATTCTTAAAATAATAATAATAATAATAATAATAATCAAGGTTCAATGAGTTCAATTGAACCCACAATTTTATGCATAGCTCCACCCATGCACAGAAAGCAATAAGATTACACAAATGAGAAACATTTCTGCTTTTCTCTATGAAAACAAAATATTGGGAAAGGAAGGGGAAAACATCAAATGCAATCAAAAATGAATCTGAACTTGAGGAGACCTATAACTAGGACCAACCTTGTAAAAAATTAGCGCTAGTGAATCTGCCAAAGCAACCAACATGAAAACTGAACAGGACGAGTCAAGATGCAAACTTTTTTGTCAAATAATTTAAATTACCCTTTATCAAACTGATGCTGCCCTGTAAGAATATATACACTATACTTTAAAGAGCCTGCAAAGTAGGCAACAACCTTCTAACTCTCATGTATTGAGTACAAGAAGCAGAGCTTCTAACTTTGCCTTTTCACATGGAAAACAAGCATCAAGACAGCAATTTGAGCCACCTGATTACATGCAACGCAACAAACCCTAACCCACTGTACAATTTGCTCTCACAATGTACAACAAGGACACCAAAACTTCCTTACCCAAACCAGAATGACCTCTTAATAAGAATGTTCTGGTTGGGACTGATTCTTCATAGATGCTTGATTCGTTCATAGATGCTTGATCTGATGTCATTACAAGCTCCTTTTCAAATGTTTCCATATGCTGTGTGATTTATACGCACCAGCGAACATTTTCATTTAGATACAATCTTTTGATCAACTAAACAAAAGTTTCAATTGAACCAACAACATAAGAGGTGTAACGCACAATTATACCTTTCTAGAAATTGACCTCTTTTCCCCATCATCGGAAAGATTCTGAGATGCAACAAATGGTCTCAGTGGGATTTGTTTCCCAGAGAATGATACCCTCTCCCTGATAAGCTACAGCAGTCCAAGCTACCAACTCACACAGATCAGTCCAAGCTACCAAATCACACAGCTCAGTCCAAGTCCAAGCCATCAGAGTCCAAGCCACCAGATCAAACAGATCAGTCCAAATCCAAATCCAAGCCATCTGTTGAAGACACTCAAGGGCTGAGCACGTGTATAAAATTGAGACAGTTATAATCCACTTGTGGTTGTTAGCATTCTGTTAAGTTGTTATCTAAACTCAACTATGGTTAGTTAGTTAGGATATTGAGTTAGATAGTTATAATTTCTGTATAAAAAGGAAGCTGTAGTTGTATGTGTGATATATACATTTTGTTTGAAATGAGAATCTGATATGCAAAATTCCTTTATGGTATCAGAGCTTTTGAGCTCCCTCGAGCATTTTCTATCTTCACCAAAAATCCAGTAATGGCAGCAAATCTGCAAGATGCTACTATAAGAAATCTACCAGCAACAATGGCAGATTCAATCTCTGACTCTATTCGAGGATTATATTATTGCGTTTCAGGTGAGTAGTTTCATGCTACATATTTTTTATAAATGTTCCCCTACCCTGAACTGTTGGAAAATTAAATTGTTGTTTCATGATTAAACTGTTTTGATAAATTATTATATTATCAATTGAATCAAATTATTTCTGAAACATGTGTGAACTTGGCATACTGTAAACTATTTGTTTTGGTCTCATGTTTATAATGATGAACTACCATGTTTTGCGAAACTGATGTGTATTGATTATTGGGACCATGTGTGTATTTAGTCCAGGGAAATTATTCCACTGTGTGTGGTGACTCTGGCCACTAGGGAACAGATCCGGGTTGGGCCGTGATGACTCTAGTGCTCAACGATTGTAAGGAACAGACCTTTAAAAACAACTAGGTGACCTTCAATCGGATCGTCTTTGAGAAAAGGCCTAGGTGCCATCCTGAGGATGACGCTTAGTTCGATTTTGGATCCAATGGGGCTTATAGCCTTGAGAACTGTGTGGCAGATTATTTGTTTTTCTTGGTACCCAGAATATTATTGGTGTTCATGTTATAATCTGTTTTAAGTGGAAAATGTTGTTTATCATGTTCTTGCGAGACATGAGTATTTTAAGTGTTGATTTGTGGAACCTTCTTTTTGAAACAGATTGTATTTTCCAAACTGTATGCCAATCTAGTTTCTGTGATATATATCTTATTTTGGAATTGAACCCTGTTTTCAAAACTGTATTTACTATCCATGTTGCTACTCACTGAGCTATCAGCTGACTTAGTTGTTTACCATTTCCAGGTGTTAGATGGACTTAGAGTGGACTCATGGCGTAGCGGGGACTCAATTGCATGGACCTCTAGGGCATTTATTTAATTTTCTTTTAGGTTGCTTTGTCGAGTTTTGTGCATACTTTGTGATTGGGTTTTATTTAGAATTATTTTGATATGTGGGTTGTTTATATCCCATAAGTTTGGATGGCTTTTGATTATGGTTGATTTTGCCGTTTATAATTGTGGCATGTCTGGATTGAGTTTTGGTTATTTATTATTGGACTATTGTTCAGTTGTTCAATGTGATTGGATTCGTGTTTAGGCTCATGTGTGCCTTGGGCTAAGTCCCTGTGGGCCACAGCCGGTCATGCCCGGATTTGGGGTGTGACAAGTAGCGAATGGTATGAGGGTTAGATTTTGGGAGGATAGTTGGGCTTCCAACAAATGTTTGAATGAGGATTTTCCTCGATTATTTGAGTTGTCAGTAGAAAAAGAGGTCACTCTTAAGCAGATGATGGATAAAAGAAATGGCTTATCTGAATGGAAGCTGAGTTTCAAAAGGAATCTGAGAGTTTGGGAGGAGGTTGAGATGGAAAGACTACAGTCCGTTTTGCTTTCATATGACCCGTCTTTATCAGAAAAAGCTGATGCATTGGCTTAGAAGGCGT